CTGTGTGTGTATACTGTTGTATAGTTTGTCCTGTGTGTGTAGGTTGTTGTATAGTTTGTCCTATGTGTGTAGGTTGTTGTATAGTTTGTTCTGTGTGTGTAGACTGCTGCATATTTTGTCCTGTGTGTGTAGGTTGTTGTATAGTTTGTTCTGTGTGTGTACACTGCTGTATATTTTGTCCTGTGTGTGTAGACTGTTGTATAGTTTGTCCTGTGTGTGCAGACTGTTGCATATTTTGTCCGGTGTATATACACTGTTGTATATTTTGTCCTTTGTGTGTAGACTGTTGTATATTTTGTCCTGTGTGTGTAGGTTGTTGTATATTTTGTCCTGTGTGTGTTGACTGTTGTATAGTTTGTGCTGTGTGTGTAGGTTGTTGTATATTTTGTCCTGTGTGTGTTGACTGTTGTATAGTTTGTTCTGTGTGTGTAGGTTGTTGTATATTTTGTCCTGTGTGTAGACTGTTGTATAGTTTGTCCTGTGTGTGTAGGTTGTTGTATATTTTGTCCTGTGTGTGTAGACTGTTGTATAGTTTGTCCGGTGTGTATACACTGTTGTATATTTTGTCCTGTCTGTGTAGACTGTTGTATATTTTGTCCTGTGTGCGTAGACTGTTATCCTTTGTGTTTATGCTGTTGTATAATTTGTCTTTGTCCTGTGTGTAGTCTGTTGCATATTTTGTCCTGTGTGTTTATGCTGTTGTATATTTTGTCCTGTGTGTGTAGTCTGTTGTATATTTTGTCCTGTGTGTTTACTCTATTGTATATTTTACCCTGTGTGTTTATACTGTTGTATATTTTGTCCTGTGTGTGTAGACTGTTGTATATTTTGTCCTGTGTGTGTAGACTGTTGTATATTTTGTCCTGTGTGTGTAGACTGTTGTATATTTTGTCCTGTGTGTGTAGACTGTTGTATATTTTGTCATGTGTGTTTATACTGTTGTATATTTTGTCCTGTGTGTTTACTCTATTGTATATTTCACCCTGTGCGTTTATACTCTGTTGCCGAAGTGCGAAACCTGACGTATGTTTAGGTATATTCAATAATTCAGACATTCACCCATTCCAAAGAATACAACTGATTTGAGGAAAACATCACGTTAACGAATGATATTCATCACACCTGTATGATAGTTATCTTCAAAATGTTTGACGTGGTGAGTGTAAGTTCAAAGATAAAACAGATTTTTCCGATAAGCAATACCCTCATTAATAGTTCGAGTTATATATAAATAAGATTCTAGAATAGGGACAATTATAATAGCTATCAATACCGTGGTTCATAGTAGCATGAACTGCCCAAGGACGGTAACAGGAAGTACAGTTTTGTAATTATAACCATAATTAATTTATGACTAGCATTATCTCGCCTCGTCATCGACAAGTGCGGTGTTCTCCTTAAAGCCCGCGAGCTATTCTTAATTTGAACCTCCGCAACAGCCTATCAACGATTGGATAATTAAACAAATAAAGCGTCCCAGTGATTGCGATGTAACCGGGGTTAATGGCCACCAAAACGTCTTGTCACCTGGCGGTATGAATTATTGAATTTGTAATTTAGCCTGTGATCTAGATGCTCCAAAGACACAAGCACTCCAGGTCTTTATGTATAATTCAGTTGGTACTTTCATGGACAATAGTCAACCAATTTTTTTCAAATACCGACTGTGTTGTTGATGTGTAGAAAACATCACACATACCGACAGTGTTGTTAATGTGTAGAAAACATCACACATACCGACTGTGTTGTTGATGTGTAGAAAACATTACACACACCGACTGTGTTGTTGATGTGTAGAAAACATTACACATACAGACTGTGTTGTTGATGTGTAGAAAACATCACACACACCGACTGTGTTGTTGACCTGTAGAAAACATCACACATACGACTGTGTTGTTGATGTGTAGAAAACATCTTACACACCGACTGTGTTGTTGATGTGTAGAAAACATCTCACATACCGACTGTGTTGTTGATGTGTAGAAAACATCTCACATACCGACTGTGTTGTTGATGTGTAGAAAACATCACACATACCGACTGTGTTGTTGATGTGTAGAAAACATCACACATACCGACTGTGTTGTTGATGTGTAGAAAACATCACACATACCGACTGTGTTGTTGATGTGTAGAAAACATCACACCTGCCGACTGTGTTGTTGGTGTGTAGAAAACATCACGCCTAACGACTGTGTTGTTGATGTGTAGAAAACACATCACATACCGACTGTGTTGTTGATGTATAGAAAACATCTCACACCGACTGTGTTGTTGATGTGTAGAAAACATCACACATACAGACTGTGTTGTTGATGTGTAGAAAACATCACACATACCGACTGTGTTGTTGACCTGTAGAAAACATCACACATACCGACTGTGTTGTTGATGTGTAGAAAACACATCACATACCGACTGTGTTGTTGATGTGTAGAAAACATCACGCCTACCGACTGTGTTGTTGATGTGTAGAAAACACATCACATACCGACTGTGTTGTTGATGTATAGAAAACATCTCACACCGACTGTGTTGTTGATGTGTAGAAAACATCACACATACAGACTGTGTTGTTGATGTGTAGAAAACATCACACATACCGACTGTGTTGTTGACCTGTAGAAAACATCACACATACCGACTGTGTTGTTGATGTGTAGAAAACACATCACATACCGACTGTGTTGTTGATGTGTAGAAAACATCACGCCTACCGACTGTGTTGTTGAAAACATCATGTGTGAGAAAACACATCACATACCGACTGTGTTGTTGATGTATAGAAAACATCTCACACCGACTGTGTTGTTGATGTGTAGAAAACATCACACATACAGACTGTGTTGTTGATGTGTAGAAAACATCACACATACCGACAGTGTTGTTGATGTGTAGAAAACATCACACATACCGACAGTGTTGTTGATGTGTAGAAAACATCACACATACCGACTGTGTTGTTGATGTGTAGAAAACATTACACACACCGACTGTGTTGTTGATGTGTAGGAAACATCACACATACCGACTGTGTTGTTGATGTGTAGAAAACGTCACCCATACCGACTGTGTTGTTGATGTGTAGAAAACATCACACATACCGATTTATCAAATTGCGTCAAGTCAACTGGATATTCAACTTTTTATACCAAAGTCAAATTATTAAAATGGCTGACATCATCTGATATTTCAGATACTGATCCTGAGAAAATTACACGTAAATAAGCTTTTATTCTTTAAAAAACAATAATGACATTACGAGTGTCCATGATCTTTAGAAGACGGTCTTAGTCGGTGTCCCGACTTTCAAGTTAATATGGTAAGTTTTTGTAAGACTTCTACACCCAAATGTTTCTGTCCCACTCACATAAAGTGTACATCGTCTATAAAATTATGAAAGGTCAAAAACTAATTTCATGTCTATTAATTTTTTATTTTAATGTAACCATGAACTGAATTAAAACTTACTCCAAAACTATTATTTGAAATAAGTTTTTGAAATGCTTCAAATTCCACATATACATCCTACACTATTTGACAAAACCTTGACTAGAGGTTTCCGATTAATTTTAACACTATCTAAGCTTATTTGATATTTTTATTTCGAATTGTCTTCTTTAAACACTAATTAGTAATAAAAAAGCACGTGCTTCTGCTGTTGAAAGTTGACCAATGTTAACATTTTTAATGAAATAGAGCATGTCAGCATTTCTATGACCGCACGTGGATCAGATAAGTAAAATGTATATAACGTACATAACGTAGGTACACCACTTCAAGTCACGATGTTCACAATAATCATTTTAGTCATGGCGTTACCGAAAACACCATCACAACCCTTGGAGGAGAAATGATATGTCTGCCGAACCCCTCTACATGTCAATAAAAGCGATTATTTATGGGGGACCCCGTTCAGATCAATCGTTTCTTCTGAGCGCTATAAATAGGGTACATTGGGGATCCGAAAATTGCGGTCTGGTTATCCACTGTATATCTTAAGGAGCCGACAAAGAGCACCCCACCCCCGGAAAATTGGCGTCTTCCTCTTTGTTTTCTAATAACTGGTTATTCTCTGTATATCTTAAGGAGCCGACAAAGAGCATCCCCTCCCTCGGAGAATTGGCGTCCTCCCATTTTGTTTTCTAATTACTTGTTATCCACTGTATATCTCAAGGATCCGACAAGATCACCCCCTTCCCCTCTCCCCCAGAGCATTAACGTCTTCCTCCTTGTTTTCTAATAACTGGTCATCCACTGAATATCTTAAGGAGCCGACAAAGAGCACCCCACCCCACCCCCGGAGAATTGTTTTCTGATAAGTAGAGATAAAATTAAATAAACCTACTACCCCAGGCAACACTTGATATCTTCATTTTCCTTAGTTATTTTGTTGTTTCTTTTTGTATTATTTAATTTTCACTATTGGCGTTCCTCTTGATACCAGCCATTTATATGTCCCTGATTGTTTTAGGACATTAAATCCTCTAAAACAAACAAAAAATAAAACAAGAAACAAAAAACCTGGCTATACACATAAAATCCACTCCATTTGTCGGGTTTATCACCACACCACACGTATTGGTGGTTTTTTGTTTGTTTTTTGGTTGTTGTTGTTTTATTTATCATGTCGTATCGGTATTGGATTGTGTTCCATCTAAGACCATTACAGTGATACTACGGTCCTACAAACATCCGCATTCTTACTATTGACCTTGAGTCTTTTGACAAATGATCACGGGTTACAGGGTAATCGACCAGCTTTCTCTTTATTTACATACAAGCGGTTAATAGCAGGGTCGTAAAGAGGCTGTGATATGGGCACATCGTTAGTATTGGAGGTGGAAAAGGCCATTTCCGTCAATTCCGAGCAGCTATCGGATCCTTAAGTGTTATAAATTTCAATAAACAAAGTTTTGTGCAGTAGTTTCCTGCTTAACAATGATAATGTATAAGGGCGCAGTATACAGTAGGTAGTTTGTGTATAAGGACGCAGTATGCCCAACAACCCCGAAAAATTGGTCGTCACCCAACAACCACGAACCTCGGTCGTCACCCAACAACCCGGGACCTCGGTCGTCACCCAACAACCACGAACTTCGGTCGTCACACAAATACCCCGAATCTCGGTCGTCTCCCAACAATCCCGAACCTTGGTCGTCACACAAATACCCCGAATCTCGGTCGTCTCCCAACAAACACGAAGTTCGGTCGTCACCCAAAAACCCCGAACCTTGGTCGTCACCCAACAACCCGGGACCTCGGTCGTCACCCAACAACACCGAACCTCGGTCGTCACCCAACAACCCCGAACCCTAGTCGTCACCAAACAACCCGGGACCTCGGTCGTCACCCCAAAAACCCCGAACCCCAGTCGTCACCCAACAACCCGGGACCTCGGTCGTCAACCAACAACCCTGAACCCCAGTCGTCACCCAACAACCCGGGACCTCGGTCGTCACCCAACAACCCCGAACCCTAGTCGTCACCAAACAACCCGGGACCTCGGTCGTCACCCCAAAAACCCCGAACCCCAGTCGTCACCCAACAACCCGGGACCTCGGTCGTCAACCAACAACCCTGAACCCCAGTCGTCACCCAACAACCCGGGACCTCGGTCGTCACCCAATAACCCCGAACCCTAGTCGTCACCCAACAACCCGGGACCTCGGTCGTCACCCAACAACACCGAACCCTAGTCGTCACCCAACAACCCGGGACCTCGGTCGTCACCCAACAACCCCGAACCTCGGTCGTCACCCAACAACACCGAACCTCGGTCGTCAACCAACAACCACGAACTTCGGTCGTCACCCAACAACCCCGAACCTCGGTCGTCACCCAACAACACCGAACCTTGGTCGTCACCCAACAACACCGAACCCTAGTCGTCACCCAACAACCCCGAACCTCGGTCGTCACCCAACAACCCCGAACCTCGGTCGTCACCCAACAACACCGAACCTCGGTCGTCACCCAACAACCCCGAACCTTGGTCGTCACCCAACAACACCGAACCTTGGTCGTCACCCAACAACCCCGAACCTTGGTCGTCACCCAACAACACCGAACCTTGGTCGTCACCCAACAACCCCGAACCTTGGTCGTCACCCAACAACACCGAACCTCGGTCGTCACCCAACAACCCCGAACCTTGGTCGTCACCCAACAACACCGAACCTCGGTCGTCACCCAACAACCCCGAACCTTGGTCGTCACCCAACAACCCCGAACCTTGGTCGTCATTCAGCCTCCTCGAACCTCGGTCGTCAACCAAAAACCATGAACCCCGGCAAAGTGCACTGGCGCTTCATTTTCAATATGACTATACAGCTAAAATGTTTATATTTATCAAACTCTTATTTTCGTATTGTTTTAAGAGAATACAGCTCCTATAAATTCACGTTACTCGCAACATTTTGACGCTGTTGGCAGTTCATGGGCTGATAATTCACTGACTTCTGGTACTCCGTAGTAATGCCGTGGCTGATATTAAACTGAAACATATTCCCAGAACGACTGTTGACATGTTGACGCATCACTAATAATTTCAGAGTGGGATATAATTGTTAAAAAAGATTTAATTGATATGTTTTCACATGAAATTGATTGGTATATATATATAGTATACTAGACTCAAACAAGAAGTAACCTTGACATGTATTAAAGGGACTCATGTCGTGTTTATCTCTAAACATGACGTCATTATAACCAATTAAAATATTACAACACACGTATCGCGGTAATCAACACTCACTATTCATGATGATCGATTTGCGACGGCAAATGATCATTAATTTCTAGCAACATGTTAAATTCATGAATCTTCCACATTGTACAAGCTGTTCATATTTGCTTGTCAATTGTAATAATATATTAATGAATAATGAACGTTTTCCTGTACTTCTGGTACTTTTAAATAAGTCACGTGACAAAAGGTATCTCCAAACACTGACACAAGGTCGCGTAAAGGACATAAATATAATTGTATTGGTATGCTCATGAAAACCAATACGTTTTCTAACTGTTAACGGAAAGGCAACTGTAGCTATAATAGTTGGAAACAACACCAGGTAAATCCGGCAAAAAGATAATTTATTGTGTTCATTTACGCAAGGTATCTCTTTCATACTGCGCGTGGAATGGTTAAAACAAGACACAATGCTAGTTATCTGTTGTATGACAGGGGTGATGGACCAAGCAGTCTTAGCACAGAGAACTCCGGTAATGATTTTTACACCTGTACTGTAGTGTGTTAATGGTTCAGGAGCGAAGCCTTCGTCATTATCCTCGCATCAGTGTTGATGTTTAAACCAAGACCGTGCGCTTGCTGGTGATTAAGTTTGGATTGATACGTTGTTATTAAAGTCACAGAACACGTGTATTCAACATCACACAAGGAAACGGAACGGTATGTATTTCCACTGCCGTTTATTCATGTACATGTTTTTATTCTGAATTACGGAAATAGTAATCATTTTAATGCTGGATCACATGTCTATGTTCCACTTGTGTTGTTAACTTGTACGGTTTTGATATTTTTGTCTAGTTCACGACCTATGGAAAATGAGCGTGTGTTGTTATGTTTATTTAAGCACATGCAACTTGGCGCATGTCATTGTGCAAGTAATAATTATAACTGCTGGAAGCATGGTTATCTTAAAAACCCTTTATTGTCATGATGCCGTGTAATGTATTGATGTTGAAGGTTATGTGTGAATGGTGTGTTCAAGGTGTGGCTGTAGATAAACTACATATAATGTGTTACAATGTGGTAAGATACATAAACCAAAGATTATTACCTCATATAAATGATTCAATAACTTATTTCGGTCATAAAACATATACGTATTTAGTGACTTTCGAGCTGCTGAGTTTTGACAATATTTTATGACATGTTTTCATTTCTTTTCGATAGAATTATATCCTGCTTGCCCAATACACGTGGCAAAAACATAGAGTTGTCTATTTCTTTATGTTTAACTTAGTGTCCTTCTCTCACAACTTTTCCTTATCTTTCTGTCTGTCACAATTCTCTCCTTAGCTTTATGTCACACTGTCACAACTCTCTCCTCATCTTTATGTCACACTGTCACAACTGTCTCCTTATCATTATATCACACTGTCACAACTCTCTCCTCATCTTTACGTCACACTGTCACAACTGTCTCATTATATTTATGTCACACTGTCACAACTGTCTCATTATCTTTATGTCACACTGTCATAACTGTCTCATTATCTTTATGTCACACTGTCACAACTGTCTCATTATCTTTATATCACACTGTCACAACTGTCTCCTTTTTTTATATCACACTCTCCCAACTGTCTCCTTGTCTGTATGTCACACTCTCCCAACTGTATCCTTGTCTTTATGTCACACTGTCACAACTGTCTCATTATCTTTATATCACACTGTCACAACTGCCTCCTTATCTTTATGTCTCATTGTCACAACTGTCACCTGATCTTCATGTCACACTGTCAAAACTGTCACCTCATCTTCATGTCACACTGTCAAAACTGTCACCTCATCTTCATGTCACACTGTCACAACTGTCTCTTTATTTTTTTTAAGTCACACTGTCACAACAGTCTCATTATCTTTATGTCTCACTGTCACAACTGTCTCATTATCTTTATGTCTCACTGTCACAACTGTCTCATTATCTTTATGTCTCACTGTCACAACTGTCTCCTTATCTTTATGTCACACTGTCACAACTGTCTCCTTATCTTTATGTCACATGTCATAAATGTGTCCTTATCTTTATGTCACAATGTCACGACAGTCTCTTTATTTTTTATGTCACACTGTCACAACTGTATCCTTATCTATGTGTCACACTAACACAACTATCTACTCATCTTTATATCACACTAACACAACACTCCCTTATCTTTCTATCACCATGTCACAACTCTCTTCTCATCTTTATGTTACACTGTCACAACTGTCTCCTTATCTTTATATCACGCTGTCACAATTGTCTCTTCATCTTTATGTCATACTGTCACAACTTTCTCCTCATCTTCATGTCATACTGTCACAACTGTCTCTATATCTTTATGTCACACTGTCGCAACTGTCTCCTTATGTATATGACACACTGTCACAACTGTCTCATTATCTTTATATCACACTGTCACAACTGTCTCATTATCTTTATATCACACTGTCAAATCTGTCTCTTCATCTTTTTGCCACACTGTCACAACTGTCTCTTCATCTTTATCTCATACTGTCACAACTTCCTCCTCATCTTAATGTCATACTGTTACAACTGGCTCCTCATCTTTATGTCTCACTGTCACAACTGTCTCCTTATCTTTATATCACATGTCATAAATGTGTCCTTATCTTTATGTCACAATGTCACAATTTTCTCTTTATATTTCTGTCACACTGTCACAACTGTCTTCTTATCTTTATGTCTCATTGTCACGACTGTCTCTTTATTTTTTATGTCACACTGTCACAACTGGCTCCTCATCTTTATGTCTCACTGTCACAACTGTCTCCTTATCTTTATGTCACATGTCATAAATGTGTCCTTATCTTTATGTCACAATGTCACAACTTTCTCTTTATATTTATGTCACACTGTCACAACTGTCTCTTTATTTTTTTAAGTCACACTGTCACAACTATCTCCTCATCATTATGTCACACTGTCGCAACTGTTCCCTTATCTGTATGTCACACTGTCACAACTGTCTACTCATCTTTATGTCATACTGTCACAACTTTCTCCTCATCTTCATGTCATACTGTTACAACTGACTCCTCATCTTTATGTCTCACTGTCATAAATGTGTCCTTATCTTTATGTCACAATGTCACAACTTTCTCTTTATATTTATGTCACACTGTCACAACTGTCTTCTTATTTATATGTCACACTGTCACAACTGTCTACTCATCTTTTTGTCTCACTGTCACAAATGTCTCCACATCTTTATGTCACACTGTCACAACTGTCTCTTCATCTTTATGTCATACTGTCTTCTTATCTTTATGTCTCATTGTCACGACTGTCTCTTTATTTTTTTTGTCACACTAACACAACTCTCTCCTTATCTTTATGTCACACTGTCACAACTGTCTCCTTTTTTTGATATCACACTGTCCCAACCGTCTCCCTGTCTTTATGTCACACTTTTACAACTGTGTCCCTATCGTAATGTCACATTGTCACACTTTTACAACTGTGCCCTTATCTTTATGTCACACTGTCACAACTGTGCCCTTATCACATTGTCATCAACCAAGAGACGATGTGATCATAACGGATGCTTTGCCTACAGAATAAGTTGCTCCCACTTCAGCACAACATTCACACATACCTTGTTGGATTATAAAAGAGTGATAAAATCTCTAAATATCCAGATGAAAGCCAGTTTGTTCGGTGCAATGGATTTCTGTTTCGTTGGGGACTTTTATTTAAATACATCGTTCTATATACTGGTGATCGCTAGCTTAGACAGAGCTCAAATATATTCCTCTTGTATTGGTAGATCCTCGACACGTATCCTTCGAAATAGGAATTCTCAAAATGTTTGTTAAATTTAGACAAAGATCACTTTACGATATAAATATTACATAATTCCTAGCCCCTGTCAATCCTTGCCAGTAATCCTC